TTTATGTATGTTTATTTATGTTTACCACTGTATATAAATATTTACCCACATTTATCACTGTTTAACTTCGTTTACCACTGTGTATTCACAATTTACTTTTATTTAGTTATGTTTTTCACTGTTTATCTTTGTTTACTTATGTTTATCGTTGTTTACCACAGTTTATCATTGTTTGCCTAGGCTTACTTATATTTATCATTATTTGCCACTGTTTACTTATGTTTATCATTGTTTACAACTGTTTGCTTATGTTTATCATTGTTTACCCCTGTCTACTTATGTTTATGATTGCTTACCTATGTTCATCACTGTTTGGCATTGTTTACCACTGTCTATTTATGTTTATCACTGTTTATCATTGTTTACCACTGTCTACTCATGTTTATCACTGTTTATCATTGTTTGCCACTGTCTACTTATGTTTATCACTGTTTATCATTGTTTACCACTGTCTACTTATGTTTATCACTGTTTATCATTGTTTGCCACTGTCTACTTATGTTTATCACTGTTTATCATTGTTTGCCACTGTCTACTTATGTTTATCACTGTTTATCATTGTTTGCCACTGTCTACTTATGTTTATCACTGTTTATCATTGTTTGCCACGGTCTACTCGTGTTTATCACTGTTTAGGATGATACAAGAGTTCTGTTTCCACACTGATGTTTACTAAATTAACAGTAAACTCTGGAGTTTGGCTAAATCATTGGTCTTAAATCAAGCCTTATCTCAGGCTAACTTAGACTGGGTATTATATTAAGTATAGTATTCAAAGGTCTTGTGACTAAAGGAAGTTATGATAGCTTCATTGCATGTGGAACTACACTATAAATTATAAATACTAAAATGAGTGCTACATGATTTATAAACCGTTGTATTACTCAGTCTGCAAAAGCCATTAGGCCCTAACCCAATGCCAATTTTTCCAAAAATGGCTAAAAAATCACCCCAATTTTCATTATATTTTCTTACATGTTAGTTTGAGCTGATTCCAACTAAAATTTTGGAGTTATACTACTCTTGGTCATAGCCATTTTAAAAAATTCGCCAATTTTTTGAAAAGTACCCTGTACTATAGCCTATGCTCTGTCCAAAAAATGGTTCCAAAATTACCCTCAAATTTTATTACATTTTTCAATACATAGTTATGGTATGCATAAAGTTTGAGCTCATTTCAACTAAAAATATTTTAAAGTTATGGCCACTTCAAATATCCTGTACCATATAGCCAAGAGTACATGATATAGCCCATGCTTTTTCCAAAAAATGGCTCAAAAATCACCTTTAGGCATCTAGTGTTAATCATATACAAAGAATCTAGGATTTATGATTAAGTTATCTAACGTCAAACTTAAAAAAAACAAACAACTATGCTTCCTGCTTTTTCATTTAAAATATGTTTTTGTTTTAAAATATAATCTTGTTTTGCATTTCAACCTGAATGTTTTGTGGAAAATGATAAAGCTACCACATGCCACACACATGCACATCACATAGATTAACATCAAAAGATATAGTGACACTAATGATATTCATGCAGTGTTATTGTAAACAGATAAACCCATCATTCTACCTATAGTCTAAGCTTCTACCCTGGCTAGTGTTGTAGAAAAGTAGTCCTACTTTCCTGATTGTGTAGCTAAGAGTGTGCATACTGATTGGCTCACTAATTACCTAATCCTCTCATTAATTGCTATAGTACAAGATGATTGATGTGTCTCAATGGCGAAAAAATATTGGACTGTGGAACTATTGTTTCAGTAGACCAGTTAATGGTAGCCGCTCTCACTCATTCAAAAAAGCTGTAGTAGACAGCAAGTCAGGCAGTAGATCTTCTGTACCAGAAGAGAAGATGTCTAAACCATCAAAAACTCTGTCCTTTTTTCCTTTCCTCCTTCTCTTCTTTCTCACTCTCTCTTTATCGATACACATCTTCATGATTCCTCTAACAAGTAAACAACTTCACACTTACATATGCTATCACGTACAAAGTACTGGATCTACTTGTGTTACTGTTACTGATACAAATTACCTCCAGTCAGTAGTCTTACATGGAGGCAGGAGTTCTAACCTAATTTACAATCAGCTCTATCAAATTAATTGTCTACATATGCTCCTCTTCTTATCAGGAGACGTTGAATGCAATCCCGGTCCTTTAAAAGGTATGTATAATAATTAATATAGTAACAAAACTTTTGAATGAATTTGTAATAGGAAAAATTCTTAGAATTTGGAATTGGGCTTGCATCAGAACCATCAAGTTTTCACAAAGTTTCTGTATACAAATAAAAAAAATATTTTCTCTAAAACAACATAACAATGTTCCGCTTCAAACACTCTCCCAGAAAACAACACCTCTACCTGAAGATATCACAATCAATATTGATACTACAGTACCATTGCCTAGTAACTCAGGTATTATCATTATAATAAATCATTACTATGTCATTATTCACTAATTTTAATTATTTTAAATATAATTAGACCACTCATTATAATTAATTCTATGCCACAGATAATGAAAATGCTATGACTACTAGTACACCGGTAGTACCTACAGCATCATCATCAGTTTCTGTAATAAAGGAACTAGTTCAGTATACTAGTATTATATCAGGTAAACATACTGTATAGTGGGTAATTTTTGGAGAAAAGAATTTTGGCAAATTGCTAAAACTTTGGTGATTGGCCGGTTTTAATTTGGCAAATTTGTGGCCATATGCTATCGAGCATGCACATAATGGTTCAAAATGATGTGTTTTAATTTGGCAAAATAATGCTATTAAAACGTCAAATTATCCAAAATTTATCCCCTCCAAAATTACCCATAATATGGTACATTTAAATCACTCATCAACACTAATAACTGTAGACAAGATGACAGAACCTACTCAAGAAAAAGATTCAACAACAGAAGGAAATACATCCACTCATAGTAATACAGACACTATATCAAGTAAACATACACTTGAGTACAAAATTACACTTATTAACTAATATTGCAGGTAATCTGAAGGATATATTAAAGAGTCATTCGTGTAAATTAGTTAAAGTCATTAGTGTGAATCTCTGCAATGTAGCTCATGCACTGTATGCTCAAGATCTGATACCACAACAAACTAAAGAGGATATGCTTATACTAGGATTAGCTGACAATACAAAAGCTAGCAACCTCGTGCATGTACTAGAGGAACAGTTGGAAGCCTCTCTTAATCCAAAGCAGTATCTTATTGATATATGTCATGTATTAATAAACCAACAACATCGTACACTAACAGATATTGCTACTTCTATATTATACCAGTTAGGTGAGTGTGTGCGTGACTGTGTGCATGTGTATGTACATTATCAGTGATCAATAATAGTCTTCTCAATACATCATAGGTCAGTCTATACCTGATAATGTCACATCTATTAATTTACTACCTGACGATGTTCAAGGATATGCTGACAATATGAGAAAACACTACAAACACCAACCTATAGTTACTACAGACTGGCCACCAAGAATTGGGAAAGATTTTTTTGGAAGATTAACACTGGTAGAAAAACAAGACTCCAGCACACAAGCAAAATCAGCTTGGCATTTGCTAAGAGGACAAGTTGACAAAGTATCAAAACTAACTGAAAACAAGGAAATAAATGTTAAAAATGTCCTCCAACTCAAAGATAGTACTTTTCTGTCTCTCAGAGTAGTAATAGATGGCCCTCCTGGTATTGGCAAGACAACTCTTTGTCGCAAACTGTTGAATATGTGGTCTAATGGAATGCTTGCACACCCATTAGACTTGGTACTTTACTGTCCTTTAAGGAATAGCAAGATAGCTACAGCTACTACACTAGCTGACCTATTTGAGTATAAAAGTTCTAAAATTTCAAAAGTAGTTGATTGGTTTTCAAATACAGATGGAGAAGGATTACTGATAATCTTTGATGGTTGGGATGAACTATGTGAAACACTCAAACAGTCTTCATTAGTTGCTAGTATCATTCATAGAAAGGAGTTAGACAAATGTTCAGTAATTGTTACCTCTCGTAGCTACGCATCTTCTTCACTTTTAGAGATGTCTAATCTCAGTAGACACATTCAGGTCATAGGGTTTGCAGAAGAAGAAATACCAACAGTAATTATACAAACACTTCAAAAAGATGCTAAACTATCACAAGAACTTATTGATTACTATATTGAAGATGATGATGGTGATAGTGACAGTGATAATGATGATAAAGAAGTTAAATTACCAACAGATAAAGACTCACAACTAGCAATGAAACTCATTAACGATCTTAAAGTACGAAATGATGTCCAATCATTGTGTTATGTACCACTAGTCTGTTCTATGGTCATTTTAGTTTATTGTAAGAAAGGAGGGCACTTACCAACAACACTCACTCAACTGTATGAGAACTTTATCCTACAAACTATCAGAAGACATGTTAAAAGACATGACATTAACCCATATACTTCAAATAGTCTTTCTTCGTTACCATCACAATTAGCTAAACCTTTACAAGAAATGTGTCAATTAGCTTATACTAACCTGGCTAATACAAGAATGACATTCTCTTCACATCAACTACAGTCACTGAGTGAGGCAGTCGAGGAAGGCTATCTTGGATTAATGACAAGATTCACAGAATATGATGAGGAGAAGTATCAGTTCCTTCACTTGAGTATACAGGAATTTCTAGCTGCATGGTGGATAGCTAAGCATGAGAAGAAGACAGAGGAAGTGTTTAAGGAACACTTTGATGATGATCACTTTCAAATGTGTTTGAGATTTGTGGCAGGTCTAACTCACCTTGAACACAAGAGCTATCAAAAGTATTTTAATAAACAGCATCTTGATTTACAGTGTAAAAGAAAACCATTATTTGGATTTGAGACCTGTCATCTTTCTTACTTTTATCAAAATCCTGAACGAGAACTTGAACACATCAATTCTGATGATTTTGCAAATGTTCCCATTCTTCTTATTCAACTCTTATATGAATCACAGAACACAACATTATGTCAAGTACTAGCACAATCCATCAACAACCACTCATTGTGTCTATATAGAGTATCATTATCATTGTTTGACTGGTTGTGTCTCAGTTATTTCATGAACAATTCCAGGACAACATGGAATCACTTGGACTTGGGGGATATAAATAACCAGAAACTATCAGTTTTCACTACTGGATTAACCAATAACTCAAAACAGGCCCAGTGTAAAAGACTGGAGGTAGAGCTTGATAAGCCTACTGATGAATTATTACACAAATTATTGCAACCATCACTTTTACGCAAAATTCAAGAATGCTACTGTAAACTATTTTATGGCCAGTACATTTCTTGTCTTGTATTGTTACAGTTTATAAGTCTTCCTCAATTGAAGATACTGCATTTAATAATGGATCGCCCTACTACACCTACAATTGACAACCATACAAAGTGCACTGAACTTGAGAAAAGTATAGAGATGAATTCAACACTACAAGAAATGAAAATTGAGTATATAGGAAGGAAAGGAATAACAAGTACCATCATCAGCATCATTAGAGGAGTAACAAGAAATAAAACAATAACATCATTAATACTTAATGTTGATATTTTTGTTCCTCCTCTTCCTCTACCTGATGGAGTACTAGAGCAGTTACTAAAGGATAACAACACATTACAAGCTCTTTCATTAAACATATCTGATAAAATCCTATCATCATCACTGAGCATAGTAGAGATAAACACACCGCTGACTGCTCTAGACATAGGAAGATGGAGGAGTTGCAATAAACTCCTGACATCATTCCTTCCACATATCAAAAGATCACACAGTTTGACACTACGACATAATCTATACCCACCACATCTTCTATTTCTCTCTCATCCCAGTTTACATACACTTACTTTACCACTAGACACAGCTGAGAGTGCTATTGAACTCTTTACTATCCTACAAGCCAATATTACACTTAACGCTCTGAGTGTGAAAATAAAGAAGAAGAAAGTATATACCAACAGTATGGGCACTAGTCTGCAAAACATGCTAACACAAAACCAAACACTAAAATACCTTCAAATTAATGACTGGGAAAATGATATTCCAAGCTCATTCCTGTCCTTCTTAACAACTGGTCTCAGACATAATACCAGTCTACAGCAGTTGAGTGTGTATATTCCACTGAATAAAGAAATAAGAGGATTTATTAATGTTGCCTCACAAAAGAGCAATCTCAAAGAACTTGAAGTGAAATTAACACCCAATCAGTCACACGGTATGCCAACAACATTGTTTTATGAGCAGGTACTACCTGCTATCAACATGCTACAGTCACATACAACCATCAGACTACTGAGAATAGAGTGTGGATATATTAATAATGAGTTATCGCAACCTAACTGGATAGAACTAGTACAACAATTATATGAAACTCTGCTCATCCATCCATCACTTGAATACATCCAGTTTGAATACACTAGTCTCCTAGCAAATACTCTTCAAGATCAAAAAAAGACATTGACTGATAGACACAGAAAAGAACAACCACACAAGCCACTACCAATAATGGAGTTTAAATAATACACAAGTAATAAATAGACGTATTACTTTAATTATTATGCATAAATTTAGAAACAATAATGTAATGATAAACACTTCACACTGGAGCATTTGACCTATTATTATGCACTGCGTTTTATTAGCTAACACTATACACTTTTATTTTGTAAAATTATTATTTTAATTAATAAACAACAAGTCGGCCATTAAGAGAATCACAAACATACAAAAACCCATCTTTATCAACCATTAACCCATGAGGACTATTAAACTGATTAATATTACTACCTTCCTTGCCAAAACTAGTAATAAACACACCATCACTAGTAAAAACTGAAACACGGTGATTGCTCTCTTCACTAACATACACAAGACCAGTAGGAGCAGTATCTACTGTAATACATACTGGATGAGTAAGCTCAGATCCTTTACTGCCAAACTGATCCACAAAACTTCCATATGGAGAGAACTTTTGAATGCGATGATTTTCGGTATCAGCAACATATACTAATCCTTGATTGTCAAAAGCGACATCCCGTGGGTATTTAAACTGTCCATCAGCTGATCCTTCACTACCAAATGAGTGAGAGAAAGATAGATCAGGATTCAGGACTTGTATACGATGATTACCCACATCAGCAATATAAACCTTTCCTGTTACAGGTGAAATGGCTATAAAGCCAGGATCTTTGAATTGTAATGGTCCACTTCCCTCCTCACCAACTGACGCTATGCGATATCCATCCATGCTTATTTTCTGGATCCTGTGATTGTCGGATACAAGAATGAATTTATCTGGAGTAATGGCTATACCACGAGGAAACGAAAACTTGACATTACCACTTCCTCCTACCCCTCCTAATGATTTCACTCTCTTTCCTTCTTTATCCAGTATTGTTATGCAGTGCACAGTAAACTCAGTTATTATAGCAACATCATTATCATCACTTACATGTACAGCAACTCCATAAGGACTGAAAAGCTCAGTTATAGTGTATGCAGGAGTGATGCTATGAAGGTAAGGATTCAATGGGATGGCTAGTGAGGTATCTTCAAGTTGTACATCATATACTTGTGCTGTTACTGTATGAGTACCACTTGTTGAAGGGTTACACTGTATCCTATACACTCCAGGATCAGTGCTGGTGGTAGTGACTGTAGTGTGAATGGGTTGATTACCTTTATCAACTGGTAGTATTAGACTACAGCTGAGAGAAAGGAGGGGAACAAACAAAAGAGATGAATCTGGTGCCTCTATTGATATTGAAAATGATACTTTCTTCTCTTTTGGTAGACGCTCAAAGCAACTAACTTTCTTCACTCTACACTGCTGTAGTGCAGTAGATGAGTAGGTCACAATATCTCCAATGTGATGAAGTGATTTGATATCTTTACTCAATACAAAGTCAGCCCTTTCCTTTGGATGTAACTTCTCCAAATTGTGTGCAGTAACTTTTCTCATACACTCCATCATCTGTTTCTTAGACATCAGAACTTGTTGAGGACTGCCTGTCTTCAGACTCTGTTCTACACAATCCTTAACTTTCTCCAGATGACTCAAGCATTTTTCTGCTGATTTCATTTGCTCTGACAGCACCTTTAGTTTAGCATCAGTGACCCTTTTTGCCTGCTCAATGAGTTTTTTCTCTGACTGACGAAGAACACTTATCATTTCCTCTACCATTTCATGTATTTCTTCTAAGACTCCTTCTCCTCTCTTCCTGATCTCACCCTCTCTCTCTGATAGAGCAGACATGACCTTCTTGAGTGATTCCTTCTTTTTTTCAAGTGGAGGTAGACACTTTCTTAACTCTTCACACTGTTTAGTATAACAGTCAGTGATTAATTCACATCTACTTGCATGATGTCTGTGTTCATGATATAAACAGTTAACACATATTACTATATTACATCTTCCACAAAATAGTTCCAAAGGCTTTCCATGATCACTACATGTGGCCTCTTCAGGATTAGGCAAGAATGATGTGTCTGTCACTAGATTGCATAATATTTCTTTGAGGATGCTGAAAGTAATTGCTGGAAAGGCTCCTGCTCCTTCTTCTGGTAGCTCTGTGCGATGACGACAAGTGGGACAAGAGAGGTAATAGGTCTCATTTTTCTTATCCAGAGGTAATCCCTCCAGACAGTGCTGACAGAATGAGTGATGGCAGGGTAGGATCTTAGGGTTGGTATAGTGGTCAAGACACACAGGACAGGTGAGATCCAGTTTGAGGAGACCAGAAGATGACAACGACGACGATGGTTTCTTTGCCATTTCAAAAAAGAAGAAAAACAATTGTGTCCATAAAGCAAAGAAAAAGAAAGTAGCAGATGGTAAGCAGGAAATGGATTATAAATAAATAAAGAAGTCCACAGCTAAACAAGAATGGAAATAGAAAATCAATACAAAAAAGAATGAGGCAAGTGAGACAATAGATTGTTCTGATATTCCCTTAAAATGTTCCACTGTAGTATTACTAAAGGAAGCTAGTGAACACTGACCACAATCCTCTACAATAAAGCACAATAGGTCAATAGCCCATAGTGTTCCTAAGTCAATAGTGGTTACATTACTTTACAATAGACTAACAATAACAACCATTAGTAACACTAAACTGCTTGTACTCGTACAAGTAATTCCTTCATACAAACATAGTGCGTACTAGTACATGTGACCCAAAAGGGACAAAACAACAAAAATAACCTGCTATACAGTATTTTTGTGAATTTCAAGGTTAGGTTAAATTTTAAAAGTAATCATTTTTCTACATGTGCGCATGCATGATAAGTAAAAATGGCCCTTTTTAAAACCATCAACCATCTGAGAGGCCAGGATCTCTGCCATTTATCTTATAATCACGTCATGTTACTAGAACTGTTAATGTTACATAAAAGAAAAAAGTGGTACTGCTGCCAGACACACAAGCAAATATTAAGTAATTTGATAAACATTTTATGTGAAATAATCATTATGCCCTCAATACTTATCTCCTCACACAGGTGGAGTCATTCCTGCCTTGAGGCTTATGGTATGTACATGTAGCTACTAACCCACACATTGTGATCCAATGGTAATCATGTACATGTATATTTATTAACCAGCAATCTTATTAATGTGCATATATACTTTGATTACTTACACTAAACTCAGAATAGCCTTTCATTGTATTTATATGACAGGTGGTACTGGCTTCCTTACACCACAGTCCACGCACAGGAGATTTACCAATAATGTCTGCTGTCTGGATGAAAAAGAAAAGATGATAAAAGGAGACAAAGAATGAGGAGGAAAAAATGAAACAAAAGAGAGCATAAGAGAGAGAGAGGGAAATGAAGTTATGGCCACTAGTAAAATGAGTCACCATGTATAGCCCATTCTGTTTAATTCAGTTGTTGCTCCTTCTACATTGTATCTCTTTGTGACTTGTGATGAGTGCATCTATATGCATGGATTTTTGGTTTTTATACTATTGAATGGAAGAGTATAAAAGAGTTGAACTGATTGTAACTGCATATGGTAAAGTGGCTCTATAGTGAGTCAACATCAGGTGCTTCACTGCAAGGTTTCTGTATGCATTACTTTTTTGGCTTCTATGCTGACACAAAAGTGGTAGAAGAGTTGGAGCTATATTCATTTATTATCGGGAGAAATCAAAGGAAACTGCCCATGGGAGGACTGATACCAGTTATATTAATAGTAAGATACATGTACATATTCATAATGTATGCTACTATCTTTGCAGGTTATACTGAGTGTATGCCCTATCAATGCTCTGTCATTAGGTGATTTATATCCTTTTGGTACAGACAATGGGGATGCCACAGAAACTGGAGCTAGTCCTCTGACTATATCTTTAGTGTCTCCTATTGATAATTTAGTTGAATTTGGCCCTCATCAAATTGCAGCAGCAAGCTATGTTGTTAGTACACAAAATAAGATACACATATTTTCATAAATTAGGCATGAATTAGAATACATGTACATTCAATAGTGCAACCATCACCTATTACTTTTATGATGAAGGAGCTACTTTGCTTATTTAAAGTAATACAATTTTTTGTATAGGTTCGTACGGGTTATTTGCAAATTAAAAATGATGACAGTGATAATTTCCTCTATGTGTATCTTGCTTTCATTGGAGCAGCTGGCTCTAATGCCAACAATGTGTTCTATGGTAGGACTACTAGTGACCCAGTCCTGATTAAAAGAGCTATGGACCAGATTAATAAAGCATTCCCTTATACTTTCTGCAGTGCCTCTCCTCCAACACAACTATTAATCAGTACTTGGATTAATTTCAAAAAGAGTACAATACAAGAAGTTAGTATATTCTTATTATTGATTTAGTCAAATACGCATTTATTTTAGACATGTAGCCAGCTAGATTCTTACTCACTTTATTATTTCTAGGGTAGTAATTTCCAGTTAGTAATTGTTACTAATGGAAACATCACATTTGGGATTGCTCTTTTTGTTGATGTGCACATTCCAATAGCTACAACTGGAATAACTTCTAATATCAATGGTATGACTAATAGATTCAATCTTTCTCTATTTCCCTTTGGAAGAAATGTTATAAATGCTCCAAACATGACGCTTAATAGTGATACACCAGGGACATACATATTTCCACTCAGCGATATGACATCAAGTATGACTTTGCACTATATCATGTAGCAACTGCCTTTGGCAATAACTTGTATTGTTTTATAGATACTACTTGCTCTGTCTGCTTTACTTGTAAAGATCAGATGCTGGCAATAATATGTGAGGCTTTAAAGCGCACAGAAGATGATTTGCCAGCTCCTTGCAAAAACTTTACATAAGTTCTTGATTTTTTCGTCAGTAAAAATAGCTACATTATTGTACATGTAATAAAATTAATTTTGTCCTTAAGAGATGCATGCATGAGAATGAATTGATGAACAACTTTCAATACCACACACATTACTTTATATCATTATAGAACTGTTATTGTTTTCATAATCTTTAATAAGTAAAAGAAGGGTGAGATACATGTATATGTAATGGAAAAACAGCTTTGTCTTAGTACAAAGTATACTACAATAAAGACATAAAATCATCATTGCCGGCATAATGGCAGGTGAACATGAAAACATTTTACGTATATACACGTAAACAAATGGTAGAAGGAATGCAAACATTGTAAATTAAGTCTAACTTCCTGTAAATCAAATCATCATACCATAACCTATCATCATTTTACACTACAATTACTTTTTGTACTACTGCATGTACATGTACATAATGAATGTGTATGCACTGTAGCTAAGGGGTAGTAAGAACATACAACACTCCTTAAAAACAGAAAAATAAAAATAATAACATATGCATGTACTTATATTATATACACCAATCAACATTATCAAGGAATAATTTCTCATGTATTAAGCAGTTAGCCTCAATCAGGTATGAATGGAGCTATAGGACTCAAAAGTAGTACAGTATTGGTACATGCATAACAATAGCCACCCACCTAATACAAACATGTACAATTGTATTGTAACTTTTCATTTGTGGGCTTGGAACCAGATGAGTAGCCAGTATGAGCGTAATGAGGGAGAGAGAGAGGAAAGAGAAGGTAGAAGTCTATGTAGTTTATGCTTACAAGTCTTTTCATGGTAATGATAAACAGTGCAATGATGAGACTAGCTGTCACAAACTTGACTAAGGTATGATTAACAAACATTTCTAACTATAAGAGGTACACCTACAATAAGAAAATGTAACAAATTTTGCCACTACCACTGTACTACATGTATGCATGAATAATAATTATACATGTTTTTCTAAACTTTTTGAAGAGTGGCTATATAATATGCATCACTACGAGTCTACAATCTTTAGTTAGTGACTGGGTATAGCTATCATCTTTCATTGTAATGAACTGACGAGCAATAAAGAATGTAAATATTGTAAATACCTTTAATTAGTGAGTTATCATGCCATTACCTTACATGTACAAGCAGTTTATGGTTTCTGAACTACCACAAATGTGAGCTGCACATTTTTGCACGTACACATTTTGATATTCATTATGCATATGAGGAGTAGCAAATGTAATTCTACCGGGCATTTTTGCAAGTTGAACTAGTGAATGCAGCATTTAAGATGGCTTCCACTATCCTCTATTCATAAAGCTACTATAGTGCTTGTAATAAATTACTATAATAATGAAATTAATTTATTATGAATCTGCCATAAATCTTTGTATTTATGGCCAACATTGACTATAGCCTATGCATTTTTTCCAAAATGACTTTAAATTTTTAATACATTTTCCGATGCATATTAATGTCCTTATGCTAACATACATAAGTACATGTGTACATGAAAAAATTTAACTAGATTCCGACTAAAAGCTTTCAAGTTATCAGTATAGCCATTTTAAAAAAGAACCAATTTTCTAGAAATACTCTGTACTACAGCCCATGGATTAAAAAATGGCTCCAAAATTACACCCAATTTTTATTATATTTTATGATACATATCAATGTTTGAGCTGATTTTGACTGAAACTTTTTGAGCTACAGCCATTTTTACAGCCTCTATTAGTAGTATTAAAATATTATTAATACTAGGTAGGAAAGCACACATACAATTTTTTCCAAATAAATGTGGAATAAAAATATATATAAATAATTATAAAGGATGACATCGGTAATGGAGGATAAAAAGTAACGATTGAATTATATTAAATGGGACATTTTTACTTAATTGTTAATGAAAGAAACCAACTACAAAAATTACTAAAAGAGTATCAAGCAAAGTTGATTAATGGGATTGCTTCTCAATATTCTGATATTATTATATCAGTTGACTGACTTAAGGTATCTATTGCATTCCTCCATTCTTCTTCTCGTTCAATATTGTTAATGGTGTGGTTCTCAGCAATTTCATGAATGTTAATTTCAACCTCTCTCACTCGTAACTTGTATCTTTTAGCGAGAAACGTGAAAAGAATAAGACATAATGAAACAATAGTGGATCTTGCAAAAAGATAATAAAAGCCACGACCCAATGAAAACTTTGGACCAATGTAATAAAGAAATGGAAGAAATAAAATAAAGTGAATGTGGTTTCTCAAATACCAGAGGCAGAACCACAATCCTATTATACTTCCTCTCATTGATTTAGGGCATTGAGCAAGTATAAATTCAACCAGTACAACATTAAATATATACCAAATAACTGCTTCAATAATTTTACGGAAGATAACCCATTTATGGTGAAGAGTGGATATATTGCTATCATAAGCAGTAAGACAACGAAACATTTGTCCAAAAGGATAATGACCAATGACAGCTAGACCAGTGTAAAGAATATTAAGAAGAACTATTAGTGCCAGACCAATTCCTATTCTTTTTAGCATACTAGGAATGTATTTATGAAAGCATGGATATATGAGAAACTGATGGAGGAAAATGATGAAGATATATGATGTAACAAGTGATATATTGAGATTAAGTGGATAATTGCACCCATAAACTTCAGTCCTTAGTCCTTTAGTATTTTCAGTATTAAATCCTGATGCCAGAGTACAGATAATCACTAGTGGTATTAATCTAAGAACAGTCTTTACATCTTCTACCTCTTCCTCTGTGAATGGTCCACCATATTTATCCTTACCCAGATCTAGTCTTGAAGGAGCCTCTTCCTCCCAGTAGGTCAGAGCACTACGATTCTCAGGATACTTGTGCTTCCTGGCATAACACAATACTCTAACTATCAGTTTGACTGGATTAATTGTATTGACAGGAGTAGTCTCAAGATAATGACTGAAAAGATTATGACTGACTAGTACTGCAGCAACACAGACAATGCCAACTAACACTACATATATAATTTCTATATGAAATAGAGAAATAGCAAAAACAATCATTGGTCCAAAATTATGCCAGTGTAGTACAGCAGTTAGTTCATCACTTGATGATCCAATGAGCTGATCAATATTGAATGGTAAAAGCATAGCACGTACAATGGTAATAGCAATCAAAGATATTGTAGCTGACACCAACAATAGGCATGTGTATGCATATGATGGAAGAAGCATGAAGATAATTAAAAAGGGAATTAACAAAATAAATGCAATACAAGATCCAACCATAACAACTTTATATCTGCTCACTAAGAAATCTCCAAAATAACCAGCAAAAAAGGAAACAAAAGCAACTAGCAATTTTATTAAAAAATAATAATTTCCAAAGGTAACAGAGGCTAATGCAACATTCATAACTATATTCTGACTAATGCAAACCATTAGATCCCAGAATAGTACCAGTAGTGCTCCCTTAGAGTGTATGAACTGGAAACGATAAGAGGAAGGGCAAGAGGAACATCTCCTTCTACTAGTGCCTGATGATGAGTTTAATAAAGGAGCACTCTCAGTCATTATGAAGAGAAGAAGAGAGAGAAAGATCACAGAACCATAAGCCCTTATACTGATTATAACAACTTGAGATTTGCACATAATTATATATTATAATGATTATTATCCCTTTGTTATCATAAGAAGTAGAGAGTAAATACATTGTTAGTCAACTACTAAATGAATGTTTTATCACAGTTTCAATCAACACTATCATAAGATTAGAATAATATGCTAAACTCACTTCAACTCCACACACTTTCAACATGGCATCTGTCTCCTCAGCAGAAGGTCCTATGTGACATCTAGCCAACTTCTCCTGCTTTAAAACACCTTAGATGGTCTCAGGATGGGCTTTGTCAGTATCCTTAGCTCCTTTTTTGAATGTTAGTCCATATAAAAGTCTCTGTGCTTGTGTGATTACCTATCTCTTGTAGATGTTCTAGCTGCACGACCCAAATGCTTTCAATAGCATGGGCATTGTTAGAAGAGGAGGCTAGAGAGGATGGAGGAAGAGGGAGATACGGAGAATTGTCTTGTGGCTGCTATTTATGCATGCATGTACAATGTACATGTACATGCACAATGGCAATCTAAATGTACATGTACTTTTCTATAAAGTATTGCATCCTCCTTGAATTCACCACTTACTTAATTCTTTCTCTTCTCTTCTTTCCTCCTTAAACAAGAGTGCTAACAGTATCTGAGCACAAAGGATGCATATGTAGTTTCATGTCAGTTTGATGCAAGGACAAGTGCTAGCTGAATTTGACTCAGTTTATAGAAGACTATCATATAATGGGAAATTTTAAATTTAGCGAATTTGTGTCCACGTGCCATTGAGCATGCATATAATAGCTCAAAATGGCAGATTTTTATTTTGGCAAATGGCTATCAAAATGCCAAATTTGCCAAATTTACTTCCTTCAAAAATTTCCCACTATACAGTACATAATTGATCAGTCAGGAAATAAGGTGCCTGTTCTATTCCAGGTAACAAATTGCTTACAACTCAAGATAACCCCATGCAGATAGAAGCAATAGAATTACTTGTATAGCGTGGCCTTTAGTGGGCTTCACTCAACTAAACTGAATTCATTGCCAAAAGTCGAGTCAATAGCCACTTGAATAAACTATAGCTACAAGCACACAATGGATCATTGTTTATTGCTCTACTTACTGTCAGTGCTGTTACTAACAGTTCCTGCAAAAGGATCTTACTGTATGTCTACTGACTGTACTGGATCATGTCAAGAGCTTGGTGGACCACCACCATACTTCAGAGTGTGCTGTGTTATTAGCAACTTAGAAGAATCTGTTACAGTGAGAGAGTCTGACAATAATGTATATATTCTATGTCCTGAAGAACAACCAAAGAGATGCCCATCAGGTATTGCAGTATGTAATACAAGGATACACATGTACACAGTCAATATTTTGTTCTTATTGTAGATGTTATAGACTGCAAGAGATGGCTTGAGCATGGCTTTGATCTAAGTGGCATTTATACTGTTAATCCTGATGGAGGGACTCCATTTGAAGTTAGTTAAAAGTATCTTACCATTTACTATTGCATCACAAGGTATACTGTGATATGGAGACTGATGGTGGTGGATGGACTGTATTTCAGAGGAGACAAGATGGATCTGTTGATTTCTATAGGAACTGGACAGACTATGAGGATGGATTTGGTGACCTTACTGGTGAGTTTTGGCTAGGATTGAGCAAGATTCATCGTCTTACTAAAGAAGGCTCAAACACACTAAGAGTGGACCTGGGAGACTTTGAGGGGAACACAAGTTTTGCCAACTACTCTACATTCAAGGTTGGTAATAGTAGTACTGAATATATACTAACAGTAGGAGGATACTCTGGTACTGCTGGGGATAGTCTGTATACTCATGATGGAAGGAGATTTAGTACAGCAGATAACGATAATGACTATGCAAGTGATAATTGTGCTAAAAGAGTCACTGGTGCCTGGTGGTATAATCAATGCTATTATTCCAATCTTAACGGTCATTATACTAACACTCCAGGTTCATATAATCGAGGAATCGTTTGGTATTTTTGGAAGAATGAACGCAGCAGCCTCAAATTTTCAGAGATGAAAATTTTCAGCAATGATTAAACACTGTTCTTCCTAAATATGCCCATGTATATGTATATCAGTGTATGTATACATGTATGTGTATTAGTGTGTCATCTTGAAACATTACTATAATAGTGGCTTTTTAATTTGGCCATTTACTATTCAGCATGTTCAAGTTTCATTTGTTCAAATATTTGCTCTCCAGTCTCTTTAGTTTAATTCGTCTAAAATGACAGCTATACACTGTATTATGATATTCAATACACAGCGGTTATCTACTATTATCTATCTACTATTATTATCCTACTATTATCTATTAATTATCTTCTCTTGCTCATACAGCGTTTAATTAAAATACAATATAAACTAGTAATTAAGAGATCCGTAACACCAAGAGTAGCACATATACAACATATCAATCACAATGAATGACTGGTAATCTCATTGATGCAGTAATTCATACTATGCCCATACTTTAAGGTAATAATTATGGCTTGACATGGAACTGTCAACTGTGATATATGGCAGTGCATGTGTGCAATGTAGAGTAAGTCAAAAAATAAAACTACAAATACATTCTAACCTTCGTTTCGATTATTCCATTAATTGCAACTTCGTCAACTGTCAAGTGTCAAATTAGAGGTCAAAGTTCAGTCATTGCTCCTTAATGTGCCGTCTTGTGAGAGGTATGCCTGTTCCACTGGCTTTTTAAATGAAGCTCTACAGGATGATTAATTTAAGAGAGAAAAAGAGCATGGAGTGGAGAGAAGAGGTACGTAACTGACTGTGGTTATTCAACTTTTACACAGTTTTTACTATTAAATTAATCGTAAAGAATTCATACTTCAAACCAGCTAGTAGTATAGCTCCAATCTCGTCCCAATTGTCTCTAGAGAGAGAAAGAGTTTGAAATTTCCCACCATTTTATTAAAACCACGCCCTGTTTTAAAGCCCCGCCTCCAGTTAGCCATACACGTGGAAACACGTGGCTCAAAAATAGTAAATTTGAAATAATTATTTTGGATAAAATGAAACACAATCGTTAAATGTTATACAAGGTTAAAGTTGCAAAGTGTTCACAAAAGACAGGGCTCAAATTTACTGCTCCTCTTCTTCTTTCTTTTCCACTTTTTCAAGACCAGGCTGGTCCTCAGCACTTGTAGCTGATGTCTCCATATCTTCAGTAGGCTGTAAATGAGAAAATAAAGAAAATAATATAAAGAATATTCTAACTTTTTACCTTTTGCTGCTCAGTGTTTTTAGGAGAACAGCATCCATTAGCTCCACCAGTTGATGGGCCTCCTGGGCAGCATCCAAATCCAAAAGGTCCTCCAAATGGTCCCCCACCAAAGCGACCAGGATTGGTCCAAAACTTAAAATCAAAAGGTCCTAATTGACCTTGACCACCCCAAGAGCCACTGGGATTGGGACGGAAAAATGGCCACCCTCCTGCTCCTCCTCCACAGAAAGCTGGACGATCAATTGTGAACATGCCGTGGTCGGTATGAAGTCCCTTTCCCTCACAATCCTCGCAAAGATCATAGTCGGGACATATGCAGCATTTGAAACGTTTGCCATATATAGAGAAGCTGCAGCCATCGCAGATCACCCCAGGATGGTAAGGGCCTTTTTTGTTTGTTGCACCATCTTTCTTGGTTGGCTCATCAGTCGATGGGCTACTGTTCTCTTTTGGAGGGTCTTCCTTTCCCTCGTCTTTCTTCTCAGGATCAGGAGGTGGGGCACTTTGCTGCTGCTGTTGTTGTTGTTGTTGAAGAAAATTGACAACATCTTGAAAGAAATTTGGAGCTGGTCCCCTCCTATTCCAAAAGCCTGGGTGAGGCCTGCATTGACCAGCATTTTGTTGATCATTCTTTCCTACAAAAAACAAAAATAATTATTTTCATTTTATATGCATAATAATTTGAAATCAACTTACTCTTTATTGCAATACGAAAGATTGTTCCGTCAAATTGAGACAAAGCTTCAGTGAGTTCATCATCTGTGCTTATAGTTACTTTATCTCCATCGGCATCTATGAATACAATCAAATTAAAATCATCCATCAATATTTAATGGGAAATGTTCACCTGCATAAGTAACTATAATTTTGTCAGCTTCAAGGTTAGAAAAAACCTGGGCCAGCTTTTGCGTCAAGTAAGTAAAACTTGTCGCAACTTCTTGATCAATTGAGAATCTTCTAGTTTCAAGTGGCTCTGGACGTCCCCAGTTGCCATACAGAGATGCTTTAACTATCAACGACATAGTCCAATGCTCTTAACTTCTTTATTTCTTTGCTCTCAAAAATCTTGATTTTAATTGAATATGAAGTGGTAATGTAAGCTCCCTCATTTTATAATATAAAGTTTGCAGTCTGTATACACGTCATCACTGCTTAGCATGTTTTGAAAAGACTGCTGAATAAGCGTTATGCACTTTTGCACATCATGCACTGTCGTATTCTACGGAGCAAGTCTATTTATAGATCTAAGCATGACGTAATGATAAATTCTAATATTTTCCTCGGGCCCTCCCGCGGGGTCGGGGTCCTTTTTAAAGGGTTGCCATAGTAACTAAATTACAAAATGGAGGAAAGTGAGAGCAAAGGATCGGTAGTCCCCGAAGGAGTCGCTCCCGTCTTTCTCTCTGGAGCCACACAACAGATATTTAATGCAGTAGC